CGGTTTGTAACCATTGTGTTACACAGCACCGCACCGTTCCGAGTCAAGGGGACTTTAACGCAGGAGTAGAAAAGGAGAAAAGTAGGATGCCCATTGATGGTAAGCCAAGGTGACGTTTAAATGCTGCAGCACGAAGTTTACTTTCACAGTGGAGGGAAAGTTATTTTTCTTGAATTTCTGCATTATTTCATCTATTAATATTATGGCTTGACAAAAAAATTAGTCTAGATGCGTAAAATCACAAACTTTTAATTGCTTTAAATTTTTATCCTTTTTAATTGTCGTTTCCTTCTCACATCTCGTCTCTTTCTGGATTCTGGACCACTGGATTCTTGGTCGCCAGGAGCAGCAATTTGGCAACCCCGGATTCCCTCCATTTAAACCTATGCTAAAAAATCGATTCTTGTCGGAGCACATGGCCCCCCCAAGAATCGATACATTTCCCATAGGTTTAAATGGAGGAAAGACGATGTTGCCAATTTGCTGGATCCACCAATGTCGCCTGGACAAAAGTACGGAACTACATTTCAACATAGCGAAACGCCTGCTCCTAGATTGTATTTATCAAGTTTTTAACTGAAAATGTGGCAGAGTTTTCATCTGATTACATGTGAAATGGTTCGGGCAGCTCTTCTGCCGTGCTTAGGAAAAACGCCGTATGAACCTTCAAGCGTTGCCAAATTTCATTTGAAAAAAACACTAGTTGTTAATATTTTTCTTCCAATTTCTCAGATAATTTTGTTTGCAGTTTGATCTAAAACTTCTGAAAATTTTCAGAAAGAAAAAGAGTTCAGAAACCTTTATTTTTCACACGCAGTGGCCACATTAGTAGGAATTTTATGCATGTTTTATTTATTTATGTATTTATCTCTCGCTGTGGCACAGCGTTGCCACATGTTATTCGTGAAAATCGAGAAAAATTCGCGTTTAGGTGGTTTTGCGCCATTTTTTTTCGGATCATGCCTATGGAATAAAATAATATATAACAGAGATAAAGGTGGATCATATGTGCCGATATTAATTTTTCTAAGATCATGCACCTGCAGACGACCCATTCTCTTACGAGTTCTTGGAATGATGAAGAAAAAAGTGATGCGCCACAGCGGGAGATAAATACATAAATAGAATTGTTGTGTTGTTGTTGTTGTTTGTTGTTGTAGAATTGTTGTTTGTTGTGTTGTTGTTGTTGTGTAGAATTGTTGTAGAATTGTTGTGTTAGAATTGTTGCGAATTGTTATCGATTTTCCCGAATAACATGTAGCAACGCTGAGCCACAGCGGGAGATAAATACATAAATAGATAAAACATGCATAAAATTCCTACTAATGTGGCCACTGCGTGTGAAAAATAAAGGTTTCTGAACTCTCGGAATGTTCTTGACGAGGAGCAGCCTCCGAATTCTAAAATACTAGGTTTTCCGTGAATTCAGGCAATGAAGTATGGCAACACCGGCTTTTGGGGGGGGGGGGCTTTGAATCGAAAAAAGTTTTTCGGAGTTGAGGAATTTCAGGGTGGGCCCAAAAAAGGCCCTTAACGATACCCCTCATTTCAAGAAAAAATATCCATGACGTTCTTCAAAAATAAAAATTTTCTAAGGGGCATTTTGGAAACATTCAAATGTTCCTGTGACATTTTTCCTCAGCACGGCAGTATTACTTAACGCACTTAGGGAGAATCGGGCTTTAAGGAAGCGTTACGGTGCGTTATAAGGGGGAGAGGGAGGTCAAGCCCAGCGTAACATAACAAATCCGAGCTGGGGGAAAAAACTTTGAAAAAAACGTGCATAATAATTGAAAATTCCGCTCTTCCCGGATGAATCCTTTTGAAAAATGTGT